GTTTTAGGCTGTAGATATATATGGAATATGGTCAATGATGGGCCGAGTCTGTTAAAATAATATTACAAAAACTTTTATGATATTATTATTATTTTATAATTTATAATATAGGAAAAAATATTTAAAGTAGGCTAGTTAGTTTTATTTGAATCCATTAATTAATATTAATTAATTTTGTAGCTGTTTAAAATTGATCAAACTGAAAACAATTTAGCCGGAATATTTAAATTCGGAATGATTTTTTTATTTTTATTTTTAAATGGACATATATATGTTTGAGCCTTGAGGATAATTCTGGCCCAAAAAAAAAAAAAAAAAGTCAAATTTCGAACACAAATTTAATGCGGCACGTGCTCATAACGTGCAGTTTCCGGGCAGAGTCAAATACTCAAATTTCATCTAAAAATTTCAAATCCATTAGACACGTCATGCGTTTGTATTACATCCCCTATGTATTAATACAAAATGCGCTGAGCCTACGTGGCTGCTTCTGGTGCTTCGGAATCCTATGTGGCAAAATTACATGCTTCGTTATTAGGCTTGGGTAAATTTTAATTTAATTCCAAAGAAAAAATAACTAGGTTCGGATTATCATAAATATGTTGATTATTTATGGTCATGTTACATGTATTAATTGTATTTTAATATCATTCCTTATTATAACTATTGAATTGTATATATATTTTAAAAGTTAATAACTTTGTATTTTTTATCAGTTTTACATATGTAATATATCAAATTAATCTTCTTTTGATAAGCTTCGATTTAACATCCATATTGTATGTATAAAAAGAATAATTTATATTTATCTTTATAACAATAATAAAATTATTTTTAATATTAATTAGAAAAATAAAATTATTTATCAACTAATATATTTATATTTCAAGTAGTTATATGATATAAGTTATAAAAACTAATATAATATAACACATGTAAGCCATAAGTAACACATATCATTCTAAAATATATAGTAATATATTTTTTTTTTGTAAAAAAGTAAACTGAATTTAATATAATTTTCTCATTAATTTTAAAATTTAAGAATAATTTTTTAACAAGCACCTGTGTAATACACGAGTATTGTACTAGTTAAATTTACAGTACAATTTACAAATCCAAAATTTTGGCCAAAAATTATGAATTTTTTACCAGAAAATTTAAAAAAAATTAAGTTGTGGAAAAAAAAAGACACAATCAAATGAAAGTGGACCAAAATAAAAACCCCGTATTTAGTGAATACGTTTTACCCCTT